GTTCTGTACTCACACCACAGCGTTCTGTACTCACACCACAGCGTTCTGTACTCACACCACAGCGTTCTGTACTCACACCACAGCGTTCTGTACTCACACCACAGCGTTCTGTACTCGTACCTATCCTGTTTCTGATATACGTAAATGATCTCCCGGAGGGTATAGACTCATTCCTCTCAATGTTTGCTGACAATGTCAAAATTATGAAAAAGATTAAAACAGAGGAGGACAGCTTGAGGCTTCAAAAAGACCTGGACAAACTGAAGGAATGGTCCAACAAATCGTTGCTAGAGTTTAACCCGAGCAAATGTAATGTAATGAAGATAGGTGTAGCGAGCAGGAGGCCAGATACAAGATATTATTTGGGAGATGAAATTCTTCTAGAATCAGAGAGAGAGAAAGACCTGGGGTTAATATCACGCCAGACCAGTCCCCCGTAGCCCACATCAAGAGGATAATCTCAGCGGCATATGCCAGGTTGGCCAACATAAGAATGGCATTTAGAAACTTGTGTAAGGAATCATTCAGAACCTTGTATACCACGTATGTCAGACCAATCCTGGAGTATGCAGCTCCAGCATGGAGACCATATCTTGTCAAGCATTAAACTAAATAGAAGAAGGTTCAGTGGTTTGCCACCAGATTAGCGCCCGAACTGAGAGGCATGAACTATGAGGAGAAACTACGAGAATTAAACCTCACGTCGCTGGAAGACAGGAGAATTAGGGGGGACATGATCATCACATACAAGATTCTCAAAGGAATTGATAGGGTAGACAAAGACAGTTTATTTAACACAAGGGGCACACGCACTAGGGGACACAGATGGAAATTGAGTGCCCGAATGAAATATAAAGAAATTAGATTTTTTTTTAGTATCAGAGTGGTTAATAAATGGAATGCATTAGTAACAGATGTGGTGGAGGCTGACTCCATACACAGTTTCAAGTGTAGAAATGATAAAACCCAGTAGACTCAGGAACCTGTAGACCAGTTGATTGACCGTTGAGAGGCGGGACCAAAGAGCCAGAGCTCAACCCCCCGCAAGCACAACTAGATGAGTACAACCAGGTGAGTACTAGGTGAGGACTCAGTATAAGAGTCAATGTGTGTCCTCACCTAGTACACTCCAAACTTGGAGGCCAGACGATTGGGGTTAGTCTCACCCAAATTGGCAGGGGGACTGGTCTGGGGTCCGGGATGATCATAGGATGGTCCGGGTGGCCAGAAGTCAGAAGTAAACAGAATGACACTCACATTTAGACCCCCCAGGACGACTTTTGCCAATGGTTATCAGCTAAATACAGTATTTTGAAAAAAATGAAATCTATATTCCCTTTTAGAACTATACACCCTTATTCATTGATCTCGGGAAAATTAACAAAAATGTCCTGCCATTCAAACTAAGTCCATAATCCCATAAAACACGCAAATTAAATTCTCAATTCCCCCCCCCCCCACTCCCCTTCCTCTTCCCATAGAAAACTGAAAGCCAACCGACAGATTCCAAAAGGGAACTATTATATAATATGTGAATGTCATTTAATATTATAGAAGACATAGTGCCACTTGATATTATTATGATAGTGTTAATATTGTAGAATAGTGATAGAGAAGGAGAGGCGGGGGAGGGAGGGGGAGGGGTAGGGGTGAGGGAGGGGGAGAGGGGAGGGCAAAGGTCATAAGGGTCAAAGGGAAGATGGAAAAAGGGGTGTGGGAAAAGGAAGACATTGTCCCGGGCACCGCTGGGTATATATATATATATATATATATATATATATATATATATATATATATATATATATATATATATATATAATATATATAATCACCTCCCCAAAAAAGAATATGCCATTGAGATATAATAGATTAATGAGCCATAAAATGAGACGTCAGCGGCCGTGGCATATTTCAGGACCGGCTCAGGGTATTTAGCCATTGATTAGCTGTAATGCCCAACCTGTAAATGGCAGCTGTAGTCGTGACGTAAAAACGCGAGCGTTGGCTCTCTGCAGCGCGGCCATTAGTAGGTAACGAATGGGAGGCACATTTTATCCCGTCAGTACTTATCGCGCGCTCCCAAATGTATAATGATATTGGCATATTCGGGCCGGGTGCTGTTTACGACAGATTATATAAATAGGTAATTACTGTTATTGCTCAGGCTGGAAAATATTGCGCCATGTGCAAATATATATGCGAAACAGACGAGGGTCGTTGGAAAAAAACTTTTGTTTATTTTTCTTATTTCATTTTTTTGAGAGGGTTTGATTAAGATTTTGTAATGGGCTGTTAATTTTGTATTTTTTTTTATCACACATTTAGAAGGAAAATTTGGCATAATTTTGCTGGATTGTAATGTTGAAAGTGAAGTTTAACCTGAGGTTGTCAGGACCTAGAAATGTTAAGTGTTATTAGCTTTAGTTTTCAATTCTCCAAAATTAACATAATAAAAATTAAAATAGTGAAACGTCATGAGAAGCTTATCTGCAGTCTGTCCCCCTATGCCTTTCTCAAACTTAATAAAAAAAACATTTAGGTACAACTGCATTTGTGCATTTACCCTAAACTATATGAAGTGGAGTACAGAGTGTCAAAAATTTCTATTTTTTTTAATACATGAGGTACATGTGCATTAGTGCAGCTACCCTAGACTATATGAAGTGGAGTACAGTGTGTCAAAAAAGCTAACTAGGTGATGCTAAAAAATCCCCATCACACAGGATGGTTAGTCATACAGAGGCATGTGATAAGCGGTCTGCACTGGCAGACTCCGGATGGCTAACTTATGTCTCTCACAGAAAACTCTATGGAAATCACACATTATATTACACACATGATTCCATGAAACACACTTGAGGGTGGCTAATACTTCCTAAAGCATTTAACGTAGTCCTACCCTGACCGGCCTATTTCCGTCCAGTACCACTCATCATTCCCCCTGCAAATTTGAGTGAGAGTAGTACCAAGTCCTTGGCCTCTAATTTTGGTCAGACACATTCTCACAGAAGTGTGTATGTACTCACCTAGTTGTGCTTGCGGGGGTTGAGCTCTGGCTCTTTGGTCCTGTCTCTCAACCATCAATCAACTGATGCACAGATTCCTGAGCCTACTGGGCCCCATTATATCTACATTTGAAGGTGTGTATGGAGTCTGCCTCCACCACATCACTGCCTAATGCATTCCACTTGTTAACAACTCTTGGTTTACTCACTTAGTTGTGTTTGCGGGGGTTGAGCTCTGGCTCTTTGGTCCCGCCTCTCAACCGTCAATCAACAGGTGTACAGATTCCTGACTGTGTGTCAGTACAGGAGTGTGTGTGTGTGTGTGTGTGTGTGTATAATCATGTAGGTTTATGCTGACACTACAGAGCTGGTGGAGGGCGGGAGAGAGGTGAGGAGGCGCAGTCTACAACGCAGAAACTGCTATATTTAACTCTATATAAGCTGCTGTCTGTACTCACCGAGAGGAAGCTATTGACGCCTACACTGTTTTTACACCACTGTGTTTAACAGCAGCATGCACCAAGGGGTACCACGGGGCCCCCCTAGATGTACCATTAGATGTACCACAGATCCCTGAGTGATGGTACCACCAACCCTAGCGTAACAAGGTGTACCACAGGTACTAGGATGAAGGTACCATCAATTATATCACGTGAGTGTATAGTATTACCACCATGTGTACCGTGAGACCCTGGTTAATGGTGAAACCAGGCGTACGGTGTGTCCTTGGATGATGGTCCCCTCAGGAGGGTACCGTGTACCTGTTTTATTATGAGAAACACGTGTGTGTGTATCAGCTTTATTATGGCAAGCGTTTGTGAGATCCTGTATGATGACGTAAGCAGGTGTATACTGTAGAATGATGACGTAGGGAGCTGTAACCTCCATCTTGTATACTGAAGTCTCACTCACACACACACCTGGTGAAGGCTGACTCCATACACAGTTTCAAATGTAGATATGATAGAGCCCAATAGGCTCAGGAATCTGTACACCAGTTGAGTGACAGTTGAGAGGCGGGACCAAAGAGCCAGAGCTCAACCCCCGCAAGCATATCTAGGTGAGTACCAATCGTACTCAATGGTGAGTACCAATGGTACTCAAGACGGTGAGAGAGAGAGAGAGCGTTTGTGGGGTGCTCAGGACTCTGGGCGGGAATATAGGCGTGAAGGACTCCAGGCGTGACATTTAATGCATTAAAAGGGGCGTTTGCGAATAACTCGATCCTCTCCCCCGTAACTCTGCTTGGACACGCAAAGCTTCAGGGAATAAGCTGACCGCAAAACGCTGGTTAGGTCCCTCGGACAAGAGTTATTTAGTTTTATTTCCGTAATGATCAACGACCTGACACTGGTAAAGTTTATTGTCATTTTAAATAAAGCTGCGAAAGAGGTTATAGGTTACGTGAAGCTGTCGTCCAGTTGGGTGGGTGTGGAGCACATGACTGTAAAGCTGCCGTCCAGTTGGGTGGGTGTGGAGCACATGACTGTAAAGCTGCCGTCCAGTTGGGTGGGTGTGGAGCACATGACTGTAAAGCTGCCGTCCAGTTGGGTGGGTGTGGAGCACATGACTGTAAAGCTGCCGCCCAGTTGGGTGGGTGTGGAGCACATGACTGTAAAGCTCTGCCGCCCAGTTGGGTGGGTGTGGAGCACATGACTGTAAAGCTGCCGCCCAGTTGGGTGGGTGTGCAGCAAGACTAGTAACTGTGTGACTCACCATAGATGTAAAGTGCCTTGTATAGTGACTGTTGTGAGCCTCATGTTGAAAGGGTGAGAGGTCTGCCAACCTTTCTTGAGGATTTATTTAGAATTTTGTTAATTTAGTAGGGAGAGAAGAGCACAAAATGGCTGTACATTTGTGGTAAATTACGTAGTTGAACCGAAAAGCAAATAAAACTAAATAAAAAGTGACAAAATCATGATAAATGCGCGAGTGAGAGAAGACGGGCCCAAGAGGTATTTCCGACCTTGTGCAAGCACAAATAGGTAATAAGTATTACGGTGGAAAACTCCCTTTCATGCATTTTGAGTTTACAGTCTTCCTGACAGTGAAATGTTTTTTTCCTCCGTCTCGCGCAGGCATGTCATACACAGCCTGCAGCTTGTCATACACAGCCTGTAGCTTGTCAAACACAGCCTGCAGCTTGTCATACACAGCCTGCAGCTTGTCATACACAGCCTGCAGCTTGTCATACACAGCCTGCAGCTTGTCATACACAGCCTGCAGCTTGTCATACACAGCCTGCAGCTTGTCAAACACAGCCTGCAGCTTGTCATATACAGCCTGCAGCATGTCATACACAGCCTGTAGCTTGTCATACACAGCCTGTAGCATGTCATACACAGCCTGTAGCTTGTCATACACAGCCTGCAGCATGTCATACACAGCCTGCAGCTTGTCATACACAGCCTGTAGCTTGTCATACATAGCCTGTAGCTTGTCAAACACAGCCTGCAGCTTGTCATACTCAGCCTGTAGCTTGTCAAACACAGCCTGCAGCTTGTCATACACAGCCTGCAGCTTGTCATACACAGCCTGCAGCTTGTCATACACAGCCTGCAGCTTGTCATACACAGCCTGCAGCTTGTCATACACAGCCTGCAGCTTGTCAAACACAGCCTGCAGCTTGTCATATACAGCCTGCAGCATGTCATACACAGCCTGTAGCTTGTCATACACAGCCTGTAGCATGTCATACACAGCCTGTAGCTTGTCATACACAGCCTGCAGCATGTCATACACAGCCTGCAGCTTGTCATACACAGCCTGTAGCTTGTCATACATAGCCTGCAGCTTGTCAAACACAGCCTGCAGCATGTCATACACAGCCTGTAGCTTGTCATACACAGCCTGTAGCTTGTCATACACAGCCTGCAGCTTGTCATACACAGCCTGCAGCTTGTCAAACACAGCCTGCAGCTTGTCATATACAGCCTGCAGCTTGTCATACACAGCCTGCAGCTTGTCATACACAGCCTGCAGCTTGTCAAACACAGCCTGCAGCTTGTCATACACAGCCTGCAGCTTGTCATACACAGCCTGCAGCTTGTCATACACAGCCTGCAGCTTGTCATACACAGCCTGCAGCTTGTCAAACACAGCCTGCAGCTTGTCATATACAGCCTGCAGCATGTCATACACAGCCTGTAGCTTGTCATACACAGCCTGTAGCATGTCATACACAGCCTGCAGCTTGTCATACACAGCCTGCAGCTTGTCATACACAGCCTGCAGCTTGTCAAACACAGCCTGCAGCTTGTCATATACAGCCTGCAGCTTGTCATACACAGCCTGCAGCTTGTCATACACAGCCTGCAGCTTGTCAAACACAGCCTGCAGCTTGTCATACACAGCCTGCAGCTTGTCATACACAGCCTGCAGCTTGTCATACACAGCCTGCAGCTTGTCATACACAGCCTGCAGCTTGTCAAACACAGCCTGCAGCTTGTCATATACAGCCTGCAGCATGTCATACACAGCCTGTAGCTTGTCATACACAGCCTGTAGCATGTCATACACAGCCTGCAGCTTGTCATACACAGCCTGCAGCTTGTCATACACAGCCTGCAGCTTGTCATACACAGCCTGCAGCTTGTCAAACACAGCCTGCAGCTTGTCATATACAGCCTGCAGCATGTCATACACAGCCTGCAGCTTGTCATACACAGCCTGCAGCTTGTCAAACACAGCCTGCAGCTTGTCATACACAGCCTGCAGCTTGTCATACACAGCCTGCAGCTTGTCATACACAGCCTGCAGCTTGTCATACACAGCCTGTAGCTTGTCATACACAGCCTGCAGCTTGTCATACACAGCCTGTAGCTTGTCATACACAGCCTGCAGCTTGTCATACACAGCCTGCAGCTTGTCAAACACAGCCTGCAGCTTGTCATACACAGCCTGCAGCTTGTCATACACAGCCTGCAGCATGTCATACACAGCCTGCAGCATGTCATACACAGCCTGCAGCATGTCATACACAGCCTGCAGCTTGTCATACACAGCCTGCAGCTTGTCATACACAGCCTGTAGCTTGTCATACACAGCCTGCAGCTTGTCATACACAGCCTGCAGCTTGTCAAACACAGCCTGCAGCATGTCATACACAGCCTGCAGCTTGTCATACACAGCCTGCAGCTTGTCATACACAGCCTGTAGCTTGTCATACACAGCCTGTAGCTTGTCATACACAGCCTGCAGCATGTCATACACAGCCTGCAGCATGTCAAACACAGCCTGCAGCATGTCATACACAGCCTGCAGCATGTCATACACAGCCTGTAGCTTGTCATACACAGCCTGCAGCATGTCAAACACAGCCTGCAGCATGTCATACTCAAACACAGCCTGCAGCATGTCATACACAGCCTGCAGCTTGTCATACACAGCCTGCAGCATTTCAAGCACAGGATGTCATGCTGATGTCACATATACACTTCAGTATATGACGGGCTCCTGTCCCGAGCTGCCTTCAATCTCACAACTCCCCGCCTAATACAGAACGAAACTACAACGTTGCTACAACCTTCGAACAAGTTTTAACACCTAACAAGTTGTAACAACCAATGTACCAAGTTGTATCAACGTTTTAATGCGTCATAAAAACGTTATAACAAGATGCAGCAACTATTACAAGTTGTAACAAGCGGAAAATATGGGGATGATTCCGTCGTGTGTTTGTAAGGTTTTTCTCACAAACTATATTCACAGACATGGGAACATGGGATATTCAAAGGTACTTCAGTATTTGTTAAAGTATTTACGTAAGAACTGTATGCTGTCCTCCTACAATCTGTCCTCCTACAGCCTGTCCTCCTACAGCCTGTCCTCCTACAGCCTGTCCTCCTACAACCTGTCCTCCTAAAGCCTGTCCTCCTACAGCCTGTCTTTCTACAGCCTGTCCTCCTACAGCCTGTCATCCTACAACCTGTCCTCCTACAGCCTGTCCTCCTACAACCTGTCCTCCTACAACCTGTCCTCCTACAACCTGTCCTACAGCCTGTCTTCCTACAGCCTGTCCTCCTACAGCCTGTCCTCCTACAACCTGTCCTCCTACAACCTGTCCTACAACCTGTCCTTCATAACCTGTCCTCCTACAACCTGTCCTCTTACAACCTGTCCTCCTCCAGCCTGTCCTACAACCTGTCCTCCTCCAGCCTGTCCTACAACCTGTCCTCCTCCAGCCTGTCCTACAACCTGTCCTCCTCCAACCTGTCCTCCTACAAAGAACGTCACTTTTCGCTCGTATGCGTTACATAAGGCCAACAATTGTCGTACTAGAAAATGGAAGCGGCACGCGACAGTGACGTACTGACCCGTTTTCTGTTTTGGGTCCTCTGGTATGGTTAGGAGAGACCACTTTAAGTGGACCGTTTTCTTGACGTTGGGAAACCTTAGGGGAACGGGCTGGCCCTCGATAGAATACAAGCGTTGGGACTTAGTGCTGTTAGTTCACATGTTTACTTCAAGAACTTAACTTGCTGTACCACATTCCTTGAACTGATGCCTTATATTTCAGGGATGTCCTTGACCTGTCTCATTAGTGTACCTGGGGGTGTTGACCTGTCTCATTAGTGTACCTGGGGGTGTTGACCTGTCTCATTAGTGTACCTGGGGGTGTTGACCTGTCTCATTAGTGTACCTGGGGGTGTTGACCTGTCTCATTAGTGTACCTGGGGGTGTTGACCTGTCTCATTAGTGTACCTGGGGGTGTTGACCTGTCTCATTAGTGTACCTGGGAGTGTTGACCTGCCCCACTAGTGTACCTGGGAGTGTTGACCTGTCTCATTAGTGTACCTGGGAGTGTTGACCTGCCCCACTAGTGTACCTGGGAGTGTTGACCTGTCTCATTAGTGTACCTGGGAGTGTTGACCTGTCTCATTAGTGTACCTGGGAGTGTTGACCTGTCTCATTAGTGTACCTGGGAGTGTTGACCTGCCCCACTAGTGTACCTGGGAGTGTTGACCTGTCTCATTAGTGTACCTGGGAGTGTTGACCTGTCTCATTAGTGTACCTGGGAGTGTTGACCTGTCTCATTAGTGTACCTGGGAGTGTTGACCTGCCCCACTAGTGTACCTGGGAGTGTTTACCTGTCTCATTAGTGTACCTGGGAGTGTTGACCTGCCCCACTAGTGTACCTGGGAGTGTTGACCTGTCTCATTAGTGTACCTGGTGTTATTGACCTGAGGGTTAATATCCGGTAAACCATGGCTGGCAAAACTGCAACACGATTCAGTTAACGACAGTTTCTTGCGCGACCTAAACATACGGATAGTCGTAGTTCGGTGTAATTATTGTTAGTTAATATCCTCGGCCAGGGGGCGTCCTCCCTTGTTTTTCGTTCCCAGTGAAGTTCGTTACAGCCCAGAAGGAAGAATGTGAATTTTGCACACATCCTGCTTGGAGCTCGCTTTATTCGCTTGCTTCAAGACGTTCTGCTTTTATGACTGTAGATTAGATGCTGTATTTCTGGTCAAACGAGCAACTGATCAATGAGAGAAATATTTTGTGATTATTAAACATAAATTTTGTAGTGGTTTAACGTGGAGGAGACTGTTGGGTAGAGTCTGGCTAGACACACACACACACACACACACACACACACACACACACACACACACACACACACACACACACACACACACACACACACACACCTACCTTTGTTGTCTGCGGCAGTCTGCCACGCTGGCTGGCTGGCTGGCTGGCTGGCTTGTCTGCGTGTCTGCTTCCCACTACCTCCCTCCAACATTGTTCCCTCCATCCCTCCCTCCCTCTCTCCCATTCTCTCTCCAGCGCCCCCTCCCACCCTTACCTCCATCTACCCCCCCCCCCCAATTTCCCCTCTTCTCTCACGTTTGGTTTCTTAGTTTCTTGCATTTTCTCTTTGTTTTCGAGCAGTTCTGGTGCTCTCTTTCCCTTGAACGCGTATTTCGTCTTGTCATTTTCGGTCGGAGCTGTTTTGGCTCTGTTATGTATGTGAAGGTCATGGTGGACACTGCTGTTTGTCTACCAGCGGTATCTCTTGTTTTGTTAATGGTGGTAGTGGTGGTGGGGATGGTGAAGACGATGGTGGTAGTGGTAGTGGTGGTGGTGGTGGGGATGGTGATGGAGATGGTGCTGGTGGTGAAGACGATGGTGATAGTGGTAGTGGTGGTGGGGATGGTGATGGAGGAGATGGTGCTGGTGGTGAAGAGATGATGGTAGTAGTGGTGGTGGTGGAGGAGATGGTGGGGATGGTGAAGAGATGATGGTAGTAGTGGTGGTGGTGGTAATTATGGTGATGGTAGGAATGGTGACGGTGGTGGAGGGGGGGGGGCAATAAGATTATGGTGGGGATGGTGGTAATGAATGACGTCACGGTTAATAGTGTTATTTTTCACTATTTCTCACCTTTAATCATCATCACCAGCTACGAAGCTATATCGTCATGTTTAGCGCTGTTATCTTTTAACGTTATCATTACCGAACCAGCTTTTGAATAAACTGGTGTTATAGTGTTATCATAGTATACCCTCTGGCTGTAATACAGGGACAACTATCAACACTAATTGCTTATAATTATAGTGTGTGTTTTGTAGAGTTTTGCTTCATACAGTGAAACCTGTTTAGCAAGAGTGCTACTTTACTACTTGTAAGTAGCTTGTGTGCTACTCTGGAAATGTTCACACAGCTGGTTAGACGTAGTAATAATAATACAATTGCTGGAGCTAAGCGTACCATGAACAAATCCACATGGGCCGTGATGAGGATTCGAACCTACGTCAGAGAGGATCCCGGTATACCATTATACCCCCCCCTGAACCATAACATTATACCCCGAGACACTACTGTGTCTACCGAATCCTTAGAGGACACAGTAGTGTCCCGAGTTGAATAGCTTTTGTAGCACGTCATGGTTGAAGGGGTATATGGCGCGCGTCTGGCATTCACCTAGACGTTGGTTCGATTCCCGCTCCGCTCCGACGGTGTTCTCACTGATATACCACGCTGTTGTGATTTCCTTGAGCATGAATAACATATAATAATAATTATAACAAGAAAAAGAAGTGAATAATAATGTCATAATATATTTACAAGCGTTGAACAAATCCACAAGGGCCGTGACGAGGATTCGAACCTGCGTCCGGGAGCATCCCAGACACTGCCTTAATCGACTGAGCTACGACATGGTTAAAAGGGTTGAAACAGAAGTTCTACTGAACTTACTGGATCCCGTGTAGTGTTTACAAGCGTTGTTTACATGTGATGGTAAACAAGGCTCAACAACATAGGGTTGTAAACAAGGCCCAACATGGGGTTGTAAACAAGGCCCAACATGGGGTTGTAAACAAGGATCCTTCGCAACATGAGGCATTAAATAGGGTTCTCTTGCAGTCATTGGACTGTTATGGCGTCTTTGTTCTGTGCACTCTTGTTCTTCCTGTTATTGAGAACGAAAAGCTGCGTTACTCTGGATATTACTGACGTTAATATTTGTTTACACTTTTCGCGTATGTGAACGTACGAGTATTTTGTCGTTATTATTATTTTGACTAATGGTATGTAGCTTCTCTTCAATTAACGTAGTGACGTTAATTGTAGTAACGTAGTGACTGATAGAACAATCGCTGTGGTTGATAACGTGGTGACTGTTAGAACAGTCGCTGTGGTTGGTATCGTAGTGACTGTTAGAACAGTCGCTGTGGTTGGTATCGTAGTGACTGTTAGAACAATCGCTGTGGTTGGTATCGTAGTGACTGTTAGAACAATCGCTGTGGTTGGTATCGTAGTGACTGTTAGAACAGTCGCTGTGGTTGGTATCGTAGTGACTGTTAGAACAGTCGCTGTGGTTGGTATCGTAGTGACTGTGCAACAGTCTATCAAGGTAATTTTCATGCTGACTTAAGTATCTTGAATATAGGTTAACACGAAACTGTGATGTATACTTATGTGCTATATGAAGAGGGGAAAGAGTAGTGGCGTAAGCACAGCGCCCTCGGGGTTCAGAGCTCTCCACTGTGCTTGGACTTGGGTTTCTTTTGTTAAGTGTTACATTTCTAATTCAAATTATCAGGGGAAAAAAGAGTATATAATATATTTCAGGGGAACCTCATTTGATGGGCTATCACTGCATGGTCACGTTTATTAAATATCTTTGCATAGTGTATGCAACATTTACACTTTGGCGTTCTTCTAATGCTTCCGTGACTTTGTCGTAACGTTCGTTAATTGCGAAAGGCAAGATCTTTCAGCTCTAAATCCACGTTAACCTGACTTGTGTAACAATATTTTCTCCACTAAACTGCAGTTTTAACTCCTAATCATTCTTTCAAGGGCATTAATAGTGTATAATGTTAGTTTGACCCGTGTCCCACTTGTAAAGTGGGACTAAATCTGCTAATGTGAGATTTACTGTC